ACAGTTTTGTTTCCAACGCTAATATCAGAATTATACCAAAGTGATGAATATTTCTGTCTAGTATGTGTTAGTTTAAACATTTTGTGCATTCTGATCCACACATCTCTTGAATGCAGAAGAACAGGGTTTGTGATGTTAAACACTTTTTGAGAAAACATCACCAAAGGTTTGAATGGTGAACAAAGCTTATTTTCAATATCGATCTAAGCTGTTTTAACTTCTGTCGCACTCCAATATTTTGCTATTTCGGCCGCACCGAAAGATAAATGGTACAATCTTCGGAGAGGCCCAGCCCTCCCTTCTCCTTATGCGCACATAACTTTCTCGGTTTAATTCTTGGCTTTTTCCCACTCCATAGAAAAGTCTTTACAGTATCATCATAATGCTTAAAAGTCGGAGATGGTATTTTGACGGGCAACATCATGCTAATGTAATTAAACTGTGGTGCAATTACCATTTTTATTATGTTAACTTTCCCCAACAATGTGAGTTTGATCTTCTCCCACTTATCAAGGTTTGTCTTAATTTTTTTTAAGTAATGGGTCAAAATTCAACATTACTATGTCTCCTGTGTCCTGAGCAAGCTTAATGCCAAGATATTTAAATCCCGTTCGAACCCATTTGAAGTTAAATTTCTCTACCATAAATGGGAGACATGAATTAGAAAGGGGCATTGCCTCCGACTTATTCCAGTTAACAGTGTAACCTGAAAACTTAGAAAAGAATTGGATAGTGTCCATCAGATTTGGTAGGGATGCCAGAGGGTCGGACACAACAGCTAAGATATCATCTGCATTTTTATACCAGGGTGTGCCCTAATAGATACTGCAAGTGGTACCAACACCAGCACTGCTTTGTTTATCACCATTTAAACTGCAACTCTGAGTCTCTGTCCAATCACGTTTCATCCTGGATACTCCGCCCAAACACTCCAAGCAGACGAGTTTGAAGGTCGCTGTTAAAGGGCTTCCATTCTATCAGAGTTCACTCCAGCAGCAGGGAAACAAAACCGCGCTTTAATTAGACGCTGGGCTAATTGCATAATATGTCCCATGATGCTTTGGGGGTGTAGAGAATGCCTTCTTTGTCTGCTTTGGCTCTCACAGTCATTGGGAGCCAGCAGCCTGTGGATCTGGTCCTGCTCCCCTGACTCTGGGGACCTGGTTCACCGTGATCCACAAAACAACAACAGTAATGGTGTGGAGACGGACAGACAGCTGAATACTAGAAGTCAAACATTAAAGATTTACATTTAGACATTTAGTGCAGAAGCAAGAGCTTAGCTTCTTCTGCTGCATGCTGAAAGACTTAAACATGTTAAATATTAAGAGGAAAGTAGATGCTTTGTTGGTAATACTGAGATGTGTTGACTCGACTAGAATCCTGATTCATCAAACAGAGAAGGAGCCAGACCATGCAAAGATTTTAAAATTCATTTGAGGGGGTGCTGGTCGATGGTGCATGTGCATCATGTGCGGGGGCCCTGGTCCTCCAGGTGGGCGGCCTGGGTTCGGGTCCGTCCTGTGGCTCCTTACCTGCATGTCGTTACCCGCTCACTCTCTCTCAATTCAATTCAATTCAATTCAAGTGAGCATGACAGATCAACAATCCATGTTGCCAAAGCAGTACAGAAAAAAATTTGATCAACAAATAATTGATACAGATGACAATGATGAAATGATTGATATGAGCTCTCTCTCTCTCGAAATAAAGGCTGGATCTATAGAGATATGATCGGCTTTAAAGTTGTTGGTGAGGTTTGGGACCAAGAAGAACTGATGCAGTTTGATAGAGGGGATAGTATAAAGAAGAAAGCAGGCGGTTTGCTGCAAATACTGCATGCTGGGAAAGTTGATAATTGTTAATATCAGCTTGAAGTGTGCAGCATGTTTTTAATTTAGGCTGAGGCTGCGTTCACACCAATTATGAGGAACACTCTTCTTTTCAGTTTGACACAGATGTTCCTAGAGTTCACACTAACTCGTTTCTTTAAAGTAGAGTTGTAAAAAGTATTTTCTGTATTTCCTTCTCTGTGGATTCGACCCACCAGGAGGACCTTCCTCTCACACATTTCTGCCGTCTTTTCAGGCCGAGCTCGCGCAGACTCTCCGGTTTTTGGGGTCGCCTCTATCAGCTTATTACAAACAGTATAAAAGGCCCAGCTTCCCCCCCTCCCTCAGTGTCCCACCTCCAAAACGTTGAGCAGAATAATGAGCAGTAAACAAGGGGGGGAGAGGAGAGTGGGAGTTCAACTTGAATTGAGGGGTTCACAAAAGGTGGGGGGGGGGGTTGTCTCCACAGCGACTGAGCCGAGCTGCTTCGGTCACATGGTTCTGGTTTCTATTGAGACCAGAAGAGGCTTGAAGCTCGGCTCTCTGTCTGAGTTTCACAAGCCGATGGCAGCAACATGAGCGGAGCCCGGCGGGACGGAGGAGCGCGCCGACAGCCTCGAGCTGAACGGGACTGAGCTTTGGGATTACATGACCAGGACATGAACACGGCTGCTTTGAATGGTGAGTGGTTTTTATTTTAGCCTTAATATCACAGTATCGTCTGCATAGATTGTGACTTGTTTGTTTTTCACGTTCTACCCAGAATTCAAAGTGATTAACATCGTCATCATCGCCCTTGCCTTTTGTAGGACATGAACACGGCTGCTTTGAATGGTGAGTGGTTTTTATTTTAGCCTTAATATCACAGTATCGTCTGCATAGATTGTGACTTGTTTGTTTTTCACGTTCTACCCAGAATTCAAAGTGATTAACATCGTCATCATCGCCCTTGCCTTTTGTATCCTCGCCATCACCGCCTTGTACTGCATCACTGTCTGCTACAACCGTACCAGGTATGTGCTTTTATTCTGAAAAAAAAACCTTCTTCCTGCCTTAATTTGGTAGGACGAAGATGTGACATTTTAAAAACACACGAGTTCAAAGTGAATCTATGAAACGCCTTCTTCTTCTTCACCAGGCAATCAAAGCGGGCCCATTCGTACGAGAGTGCAGTGACCCAAGGCGAGCCAGCTGACCCCGTGGCGGTCAGAGCAGTGAAGAGGTCGACCAGTTTCATGAACCCTCTCGCTTTCTTCAGGAAACAAGACCCGGTGAGGAACAGCAACAAGATCTACTACATCTACAGTAACCCGCTGCCTGTGGGGCTGAAGGAGGAGGAGGAAGAGGACGCGCTGCGGGTCCACGAGGAGCCTACTCCCACGCTGACGCTGCCCCTGTCCATACAAGAGTACGCCAACGACCCAGACAGCGGTGTCATCTTGGACCCGCCCATTTTTTACATGCAGCTTTAGAGGTGGAGGAGGTGAGACAGAGAGAGACTCTGACATCTTAACCATCTGGCAAAGTAACAGCTTCAAGGACAAACTGCTGCTGAGTGGTGATCTACACAGATTGTCATTTCTAAAAGTAGCACCGCCCCTTTAATAACCTGCAAAACATCAAATCACAGCAGCTCTGTTTGTCCTTAAAGATCTTATTACACTTCATTAAAATCTCACTCAGCTGTCGAGCCCAGAAAAACGTATTTTTTTGAATCGCTTCTAATGAGTGAAATATCTTCAAATGAAGCTAGCAAACTTTCTCTAAGAATAGATCTTTATCATTTAAAGGTCCAGTCAGTGAGATGTGTAGTGAGTGAAATGATAAAGGTACCTTACTATATGATCAGACATTAAGGAAACATGCTATGTTGAAGTGCTGGCTTCTCTGACAACAATGCAGCAGCCAGTATGAACTCCTTCTAACTTTAGATTCTGGTCCTGAATGCTCTGGATTTGTTTGGACCAGAGAAGGGAGGCGGTTTTAAGATACCCCCCACACGGCCGTTTTGGACGCCCCTCGGTTTGTCAGATATGAGAGCAGTTATCAGGTCAAACCAACAGGTGTTGCAGTGATGGAAGCAGCAAGAGAAGTGGTTGAGATAGAAGTGATTGTACCCGACCTAAAAAGCCTCTGCATGTTTCTAATAAGCTCCACGAGCAGAAACGTGCTCAAACTAGGATCAATATTGGAGATGCTTTTGAAAAATGGAGAGCGGTTAGAACACAGAAAGGTTTACAGACCGATGCAGAGCTGGCTAAACACTGAAGCTTCAGTGTCCACCACATGGCAACCTGTGTGAGCATCCACTCTAGAGAGGAGGGGGGGACAGCTGTTTAGAATTTAGATTGCAGTACCCATTTTAAACACTAGGGGTCAGAGTTACATACTGCTCCTTTAATAAAACATTTTTACATTTGGATGTATGACAATGTTTTATAACAAAAGAAAGACATTAAAAATATTTTTAAGATTGAAGATAAAAATGTGTTTTGTTTTGAGTCTTTGGATGTAAAGAAAAGATTCCTGTGTGTGTACGTTCACTACCTGGCCTGACCTCCATATCAGAGCGATCTAACCAACACTGACTGTTGCTCGGTTACGAAAGTTGTCTGGTGCTAATTATAAGCTTTTATTTGTGGAACTGTTTCAAATGAAAGGTTAAACAAAGAAAAGGAAGAACGCTGTCCTGACAGCAGCAGCAGCAGTTTCAGACCTGGAAAACACAAGTCTGCGTTCGTGAGCTAATGTGAAGAGGAGGATTCGTTTCTCTTCCGCCATTGTTGTTGACAAAGTTGATGACACGCCCCTTCTTTTTGATTTTCTTGATTTATTTTTGGGGGGTTTTACCTTCATGTGCTGGACAGAGGATAGAGGAGGAAACCAGAGAGAGAGAGACAGAGAGAGTGTAGAAGGGAGCCACAGGTCGGGCTTAAACCCGGGTCGCCCGACCTGGAGGACTTTAGTACCTGTACATGGAGCGTGACCTAACCACTGGGCCATCTGTGCCCTGGAGTCATGAAAACGCTGAACTGATCTGGATGTCTGTAGGAAACGGATGCTGCACGTTAAAATAACCGCCCGGTAACCACAGGCCCAGAATCTGCATTGCATGAATCTGCAGGGTCAAAGGTCAGACTCAGGACTCTGAAGAACGAATAAACACGGTCGTGATCCATTTTAACTTTAATAAAACTGCGGATACAATGTGCTTTACAAAAGAAGCCGAGGGCGAGACACAGAAGAGATGAGAGAAATACAAACGATGATCACCGCAGACGACCTACACGTCCTCAGACGATCGGCTGCGTCTCTCTCAGCAGCCACTCCAGCGCCTCCTTCCTGCCCTGCCTCTCCAGCTCGCCGCAGATCACCTCCCGACACTTCCTGTGATACTCGTTCACCCAGTCGCGCTGCAGGACAGACACAAGAGGACGTCAACCAGGAGACTTTATTTAAAGGGGCTATATGTAACTTTTTACATGTATAAACCGTTTTTTATCGCCCATTAATAAGCGAACGGTGAACTGGTGTGAAAAAGTAGATGTTCACTGTCTATCTGTGTTGCCTGTATAAAAAGTTTCCCCGGGCCGTATTTTCCACGAAAGCTCCAGGAAGTGACATTTTATGCACGTTCTCATCGTCCTCCTCACTCCGCTCCGCTTACAGAGATCAACAGTACAAATTCATCACACACTTCTGGTCTTCACCTGCACAGCCAGAGGCCACCTTCCACACACTTCTATCCGCTCTAAGAGCTCTCAAAGACGGGCAAACGCATCAGACACTCCTGCTCTCAGCCAGTTCCTGCAGAGACTGTTGTTTGTAGGATGGAGAATGAATACAAACATACAGACTCCTTCACAGACTTTCACATGTGTATGACCACTTACCTCCTCTGTTAACATTATGCCGGTAAATATTCAGTGTTTCGCGGCCAATGATGATGCTCGTTTGTGTACGTACGAGCACGTATGATGAGCACGCGAGGGTGAGCGAGCAACAGGTTACTGGTGCAGATCGCCTAACAGCCATGCGGTATCGGTACAAACGCAGTATTTTTGAAAGTTACATATAGCCCCTTTAAGAGTTCAAATCTAAATGTTGATGTTGTGTTATTTTATTTTGAAGGATTTTTCACGTCATCAATAAAAACCTTTGAGACGGACGTTAAGTTTGAGGACTGGAAGCACACAGGAAACAGGAAACAGGAAGCTCTTACTCCTTCTGAGTGAGCAGCTCCGTGTTCATCATCTTCACTTGGAGAGGAACCAGAGTGAGCGGCTCAAACGTCAGACTGCCTCGGTTTCTGTAGTTGTACTGAACACACAAACACACACATCTTTAAAAAAGGGCAGTCAAATGATTCACATTTGAATCACTAAATTTCAATAGTTAATCACCATGAATCGCATTTTTTATTTTTTATTTAAATATTTTGCATTTAAAATAAAACTTGTTAGGCTTTTATTTTGAAGTCTTGTCCTGTCTTTAGCTGAGAGTACTTTACCTAAATGAAGTAAGGAGCTAAAGTGAGGTCGCTGCTGACAAAGCAGCAGGAGCAACTCCGGGTTAAGTGTCTTGCCCAAGGACACATCGGACATGTTCAATGGAGAGACGGACGACTTTACCACTGATCCACAGCTGCCCCAGCGATGCCCTGTCCCAGCTTATTTCGTCTTTGTGTTATTTAAACCCAACATGAGCTGCTCCAGAACTTTTTAAAAATCATCACTTCCTGTTTTTATTCATATTTTACACGACGCAGAAACTTTTTAGGAGTTGGAGTTAAAGTATTACAACGGTGTTACGCACACAAAGACGACTCCTGGGCAAACCACCGGTGTATATCTGTGGCGTGTCATTTTTGACCTTTTTTTGTTTTACCATAAAATCAATGCATGCAAGACAGAGAGGGAGAGAGAGAGAGAGAGAGAAAGATAGAGAGAGAGAGAGAAAGATAGAGAGAGAGAGAGTCCGCTGACCGTACGTCTCTCTCTTAACTAGAACGCTCAAGCTGATCCCCGATGTGATAACTGAGTATCGAGTGAAACATTGAACACACAGGTAATGGACTCGGGCGTCTCTAACGTACTGATGGTGAATACTGTCAAAAACACAATAAACGAAGCGAGGCGGGACAAGCCGGGTCGCTCTGTGTGCGAGGGAGGAGGAGCCGGTATGTGTGGTGTGTCAGCACAGGTTGAGCGTGGGAAACGCTGATTTCACATCATTCCTTCTCCTGTCTCTGTGTTTCTACTTCCCCATGGCGACCTGCGCTCCATGACACGACTTACTTTGGGCTTCGTTGGGATAACCAGGACCACGTTTTCTATACGGATGCCGAAAGATCCGTCTTCATAGTAACCGGGCTCTAAAAGAAAAAAGGAGAAGAAGAATTAAAACCAAGAAAACGGAAACTCAGCAAGTTTTGTCTCATTCGTCATCCAGTGTTTCCTAAAATAAATGTTCAACTTAAAGGCAGGGGTGGTAATTTTAGAAAACTAGCATGATTTTGAAAGTAGCATTCACTCAGTGCCCTGTCTGCACCCCCTCCCCTCTGTGCTTCCTCTAAAGCCACGCCCCTCCCCCCTCTGTACTCCCTCTAAAGCCACGCCCCTCCACTATGTGCTCCCTCTAAAGCCACGCCCCCTCTGTGCTCCCTTTCAAAGCCCCTCCCCCTCCACCTCTGTCCTCCCTCTAAAACCACGCACCGTCCCCTCTGTGCTCCCTCTAAAGCCACTAAAAAAAAAGATCTGGAGGAAATCATCAACCCTGCCTTTAATGCAACATGTGTTTCACATTTCTTTATCTCCCTCCTGAAGTCTTTGGGACTGATGATATTTGCTCTTTGTTGGGTTGCCTTCATTATTCAGATCTGCTGATTAACCTTCTTAAAGAAGAAACAACTTCTGAAACATAAAGTCTGCAGATATTCTGTCACACCATGCTTTCACTAAACCAGTAGGTGGCGCTGACGGGCCGCGGCGCCCATTGACTATGTGTAATTTGGCAGCAACAGGGGGGTGAAGAAGCTGACATATTTTCATAGCAGGGTTAAAGTGACTCTCTCTGTTCTTATTCTTCTGCGTCACACAGATTCATTTTTAAGTTTTATAAAGATTGAATCCAGCGTGTTGTACCGTCACTGACGATCATGCCGGACTCGAGAGGTTCATCGGCGAAGGTCTTGTAGCTAATGCCGCACGGGCCCTCGTGGACGTTGAGGAAGCAGCCCACACCGTGTCCCGTCCCGTGAAGGTAGTCCAGCCCCGACTCCCACAGAGCGGCACGGGCGAACGAATCCAACAGGTGTCCTGTGGAGGGAGCGGGATAGAAGTTAAAGAATAGAACTGTTTTGATCTTAGAGTCCAATCTATGCTGCTCATGTGACAGAGAGAGGGAGGAGCCTGTTCTCCTTCAGATGGTTAAAGTCAGATCTTGGAGGCTGACTTGAAGTTTGACCTCCACCCACCACGTCTGTCTCATCTTAAAAATCCTCCACGCCTCCTCGAGATCTGTAACACGGCTCTGTGAACATACAAGATCGACCACGCTTGACCACACAAGTCTCTGCTCACCTTTCGTTCCGTTGGGGAAGACGGCAGCGCTGACAGCTATGTGTCCCTTCAGCACGTAGGTGAAGCACTCCTGCAGGAAACAAGAAAAAAGAGAGAATTAGGAAGAGGAAACTACTTCCTGGTTTGCTTTGAGACAATTTCTTGACCCCTGCTGACAGAAACTGTCTTTACACATCTCGTTCTGTTCAGGGACAAAACGTGTTTTAATTTACTGTCTCACTCATCGATAATCTTTAAGAAGGAAGGCATCAAACACAGACTGCTTAAGCTGCTGTCACCTACCCCGTGGCAGTATATTCACCTTAAAAAAAGTGATGTTTGCTTGCGAATTCATTTCAGCCAGTTTCATTAGCGCCTTAAAGGTCACATATTCTCCTCCTCTTCTTCAGTGTAAATAAGTCTCAGAGCTCCTCAAAACATGTCTGTGAAGTTTCTTGTTCTAAATCCACTCTGATCCTGTATTTGATCATGTCTATAAACCCCTCTATTTCAGCCCTGCTCAGAACAGGCTGTTTCTGTGTCTGTACCACGCCCCCTCTCTGGAAGGGCTTGGGTGTCTCGGTCTTTCTCGCTCCATGTCCTATTGTTTACGGTGAGAAGGCAGACTCAGAGGGCAGAACAAACACCTAGCTGTGGGAGTGTCACCCACCTGGGGGAGGGGCTACTGCCCTTTGTGATGTCATGAAGGGAAAATCTCCAAACGGCCTGTTTGAGCACACATTTTCTGAAAAGTGGAACAGGCAGTAGAACTATTTTCTCATCATTGGGGGGTTTGTAGACATGAGGGGGAGGGGGGGAGACATGCTGCGACGGAGCCACATGTCAGATTTGAACCCGGGCTGCCCTTGTACATGGGGCATGTGCACTAACCACTAGGCTACAAGTGCCCCATACTTCTCTATGCAGACTTTGTACATAGAGATGAGTCGAGCCTTGCTTCAATCAAATTAAAAGAGGAAATGGAACTTGAGGAAACTTGAGGAAAAATGTACCTTCTCAAAAGCAGACGGCGTTCCAAAGTGCATGGTGCGTGTGACGTCGGTGGTTCCATCCCTGCCGAGGACAGAAGAAGGAGCAGGTGAATGAGGGTAATGAACAGAGAAGGTCACCGGTTCCTTTCTCTAAATTAAATGAGCGGTGCAGCAGTTGATGCATTAAGATGCTCCGCCACAGTTTGGACCGCCTGTGATCCGAGCATGTTCTTAAAGGTGTTAAATACATTTACTGCAGAGTCTCAGTGAAGACAAGGCAACGTTGAAGGAGGCGTTTAAGGCGTGCTACACACGAGACGATTTGAGGATTCTGTCACAAAACCTCGTCATCCCATCTGTGAGACTTGTGATCCGTTGCACCCCAAAAATAATAGAGCTCAACAGTTTGGTTCAGGAAGTAAAACTCCCGTTCATTTTTCCATAGCGGATTTCATTATTAGCCATGATGTCATAACCATCACAGGTAGACTGACCACGAGCTACCTGAGTGTGAAACGATGGTTAATGCTCCTGTTCGTCTGATACCAACCTTTAGGAACAACACTGTTTATTCACGATATCGGGGAAAATAACTACACTACCCATGATCATAGAGTGTCACAGAGACGTCTCTGATTGGTGGAGCTCTCTGTTACCATGGCAATTCAATTCAATTCAATCCAAAAAACTTTATTTGTCCCCGGGGGGCAATTTCTCGCCCCTCGGCAGGCTAGCTAGTTGGTTAGCTAACATGGATCGTACTAATGACCTTGTTATGCCGCAGTGAATGTCATTGATATATCAAGAAGAAGAGGAATCATTTGCAAAGGATTGTGGGATGTGTAGTTTTTAGACTTCGTACACAGTCTTGTCCCTTTTTTCTGTTATTTAAAGTCGTTTTGACGCTGAATCAAATGCTTCATGGTCACAAGTATTGGGGTCGTTGGTTGTCATGGTTACAGGCTCAGATGTCTTGATCTTAAGATTTTGTAAAACTTCAACCGAGGATTTGAACGGAGGAGATGTACTTCCTGAAACAGAACCGCCGACAAAGTGGGCGGGGACTGTTGAGCTGTATGCATACAGAGAAAGTGCTCGTCATGAACGCTGGTCATTTTATTTACACGTATTGCGCTCCGGAGTCGATCAGGTAGACCTCGTTCAGAGAGAGGGTTCTGTTGGTTTCAGGTAGGGGTCTAAAAAAGAGAAACACAAAGGACAGGATGAAGTATTCTTCCATTATCAAACAGGAAGAGGTACACGGGAGTGTGTGAGTCGGCTACCTGTAATGTATGATCGCTCCGTTTGGACCCACGCTGGAGATGGTGGGGAAACTGAGGCCCACAAATTCTTTCTGCTGACTGGAAGAGAAGGAGAACATTCAGGAACATAAAGAAGAACATGAAGAAGAACATTCAGGAACATAAAGAAGAACATGAAGAAGAACATGAAGAAGAACACACTGGATGTGTGGTCTGGTTGTGTCAGGGCTGCTGCATACTAACATCAACTTTAAGACCCAAACAAACACAAATGAAAACCTTTGTCCTTCATGGATTTTAAGAGACCAAACAGCTCTGATTCCCAGAATCTGAAGGGTTAAAGCTTTTTGCATACTTCAGCTGCAGCCTTCATGTGGCCTTCATGGTTAGTTCATGTGTGCAGGGGCTGTGGTCCTCCGGGCGGGCGGCCCAGGTTCAGGTCCGGCCTGTTTGGCTCCTTCCCATCATTCCTCTCTCTCTGATTCCTGACTTGATCTTCTGTCCTGGCTTCAGGAACGACAGCTGCTGAAGTCTGAATCAAGCCTGCTGTCTCGGCACGCTGCCATGTGTTTCTTTCTTCTCAGACTTTGATGATACATAAAAAACACGAAGTGCTCCTTCTACTGCAGCTTCTAGTGTGCTTATTATACGGGCAAACCGGAGCTCACACACACTGACCGCTTTAACCTGCAGAATGATGGTTACCCTCTATGACCACTAGATGGGGATATAACTCCAGTAGTGTCACTTTCACAAACAGCATCATGTGTTATTTTAAAGCATGAACGCCTACATGATGTTAAACTGGACAAGCTCGTCAAACAAACCAGGAAACCCAAATAAATAAAATCCACCCACCTGCGAAACTCTTCGGCCTTATCAGCAGCAGAGATCTCCGTCACGGTACCTTTAGGAATCTATCAAAACAAATCACACAACAACCTCAGAGGTCAGCCATGAAGAAAGGCTTAAAATAACACCAGCGTCTCCTACAGATGAAGCCGGGTTACATATCAACCTTCACCTGAAAGAAGGGTACTACACTAACTCTCCATTTCAGAGTTTTTAAAACGTATGTTTTCATGTATTAGACGTCTTTATCAACTCATTATTAACGTCAGGAAGAGTCTTTGTGGTCTCTAAATATCTGTAATCAGAGTTTCATTGGAACAAAATCATCAGCAGAGTACTGATTGTATTGTACTCTGTCACAAAAAGACAAGAGTGTATGTCTGCAGCCCTGGCCCTCTCGCCTGGTGGCCTGAAGCCGCGTCCCCTGAGCTTCTAATTTAAAAAATAAATCTCCGGAAATCATGCAATTGAATTGTCACATGTGATATATTACAAACATACTAGGTGCTTATGCATATACATTCAAGACTAAATAGAAAATAAGCAATTTCGCCATTCTTAAGTGCTGTATATGCACTCACACATGCTCGTCTTCTTTTGGCGCGGCGTTAATGTTGGACTTAATGCGCGAGTTCGGAAACTGCTTCTTGACCCAGCACACTTGCTGTTATAAATTTCTGGAGGAGCGGGGCGCGACATCACATGAGACGAGAGAGCGCCAGCGCTGCAGCCATACCCGTCTCCAAAAAGACAGGCCCCGGCGCTTGCTGTAGAAACAGGCGCATTGAATAGAGTGGGCACCATTTTACCCAATGGTGCCGTAGCGTGTGCACGGAGAATGTGGAAATTGGCAGTTTTCAATTAATACATTTTGAAAAAACTAACATAAATCCTGATGTGAATCAAGGGTTCGAACCGTTTGGGCTACAAGCACTAATAAGGTCTCGTTTGAAAACTAATGCTCCGTAGTTTCAGAATGTGAATAGAAGATCTAAAAAGGAAACGCCAAAGAAAATGTTTTAAATACCTCCTTTTCCAACCAAGCGAAGAGTTCACAGAGCGCGACTGCGTCTTTGATCTGCAGGGGGAAAGAGCAGAGTCAATCACTGTGTGTTTGTAAAGACTTCATAAAGTCAGCTGGAGCTGGAGGTCCAAAGGGTCTTACATGAGCCATTTTCATGCCCTGGATCTCGCTGGCGTTCTTCACGGCCTTGGCGAGGCAGAGAGGGGTGTAGGGGATGGGGGACCTGTGGGCCTGAAACAGATCAAACAGGAACCATTACAGTTTGAAAAAGGAGAAATAAATCAGAGTAAACAATCAGCTCCCCGTCTGGGATCGGTGTCTCACCTTGGGGATGACCTGCGTGAGCGCGCAGCTGGCTCTGTCGCAGATCCACACCTTGTCTTTGGGGCCGTGTGCGGCGCAGATGGCCTGCAGCTCGGTGTAGACCGACTCGTATGGGAACGTGTGGATGCTCATCTCCGACTTGCTGGGAGAGTCCAGCTGCAGATGGTCTCTCAACGCGGGATCGGAGAGACGCTTCAAGTCCACAAAAAGCCTGCAGCAAGGAGAGGAGGGTCAGTGAAGGAGAACGCTGAAAACCCAGTACCTACATGTGGTCCTGGTACAAGACTCCCATCAGTTTTTAGACTTCCACAAGGAGGTTTACCTTATTGCGTTCATCCCCACGATGGCATAAGCAAAGAACACCGGGTTGTACTCGATGTCTGCACCTCGCAGGTTGAAAAGCCCTAAAAGGAGATAATGGATATTTGTTATCACAGCGACAATGTCCACTAAAAACATCTCTCCTGTTTTTAACCCTCCATGTAAAGTGACACAACATCAATACATGTCTCAAACAAGATATACAGAAAAAAAAAATCCTAGCACCCAATATCAGGACATTTCTTCTTTTAAAGGTCCAATCAGTAAGATGTGTAGTGAGTGAAATGATAAAGTGACATTACTATATGATCAGACATTAAGGAAACGTGCTATGTTGAAGTGCTGGCTTCTGTGACAACAATGCAGCAGCCAGTATGAACTCCTTCTAACTTTAGATTCTGGTCCTGAATGCTCTGGATTTCTTTGGACCAGAGAAGGTAGGCGGTTTTAAGGCGACCACCCACAGCCGTTTTGGACGCCCCTCAGTTTGCCAGATATGAGAACAGTTATCAGGTCAAACCAACAGGTGTTGCAGTGATGGAAGCAGCAACTGGTTCAGATAGAAGTGATTGTACTCGACCTAAAAAGCCTCTGCATGTTTCTAATAAGCTCCACGAGCAGAAACGTGCTCAAACTAGGATCAATATTGGAGATGCTTTTGAGAGAGGATAGAACGCAGAAAGGTTTACAGACCGATGCAGAGCTGCCTAAACACTGAAGTGTCCAACACATGGCAACCTGCGTGAGCATCGAATCTAAGGGGGGGGGGGGGGGGACAGCTCTCTATGATGTTTAGAATTTAGACTGCAGTACCCATTTTAAACACTAGTAGGTCAGAGTGCAGATTGTAGTTGGGTGTTCTTGTAAACACTGAGTTCTAAGTTTGGGTGTTTTTTTCTTGAGTCAGACTGATTGAGTACGTGTGTGTGATCTCAGTCAGGTGGAACTCCTGCACAAGAAAATATGCTGGCAATGTTTCTGTACCGAGATGTTGCCAACAGATTTGTTGCAATGTGATCGTGCTCTCTTTATGACTGCAGATGTTTAATATTTAACTCTTATGTACTTTTCTTTACTGTCCATCATTAAAATAAGATTGAGTGTCTCATTGTTAAAACCTGGTAGTACTGAAGATGTTGTCGTCTGCCTGGTGTTAAATATCAGATACGCCGGTCGCTCGTCATTAGTGGATGCCTGAGCAATCCCCCTCCCAGTTTATCGCCCGTTGAAATCTTCTGGTCTGAAAGCGACCTGATGACAATCAACATCACCGCTCTAATGGAGACGAACTCTCAGACCAAAACAATCAAGAAGGAAGAGCTCATCAGGCTAGCCTAAAGAGGTGCTCAAACGACCACCTAGAGGAACACCCGTGCATCCCCAGGGTCCTTGGATCGTGATCTCCAAACGGGCTTATGTAACCGAGGTGACGTCAGGTGTGGCTGCTGCTTCTCTTACTCAGAGATAACTTAAACAACAGACACGTGTCCAACATGTCTCACACTTAGGGGAAATCTCCCCCCGGCGAGCGGTCAGCCCGGAGCTGTTATCTAACAGTTTTTAGATCCTTTGTGTCGTTACAGGAAAGAGGTCAAGTGGCTGCTATCTCTTTAAAAGACTTATAGCTGTGAAGTGTTGACACTGAACTTGTGAGACCAGTTTAAAGGAACTCCATCGTTTAGTGACTCAAAGTTTCTTGTAAATATCTCGACCTTTAGCTTCAGAGGCGTGACCTTCAGGTCACCTTCACCTTCAAAAACTTCCATCGCTGTGTTTAGATTCTTCCTCTACAGCAGCTTGTATTTCTGAGAAATTGAAACTTACATGCAATCTCGTCCAGCGCCGTGGCGACAAACCATGTGATCTTCCTCTCCGCCATTTTGGCTCGCAGTGCTGTGATCTTATCCTGCCAGGACATACCTACAGGGAGACAGGAAGTCAGGAAGACAGGAAAGATAGGAAGTCAGGAAGACAGGGGCCGTTTCCAAAAAGCCACAGTTCAGTATGCAGTACGTAGTTTTCAGTATGGAGTTTCAGTATACTGAACTTTCGTGGTCATTCAGTATGCATTTTTTGGGTCCACCTCAGTATACTGAACATTTCAGTATGGATACTAACTTCCGGGTTTCATGCAGTATGGATCGGATGCATGCTTTCAGGGAATTAATTGTATTTTACCACCCACAATGCTGTGCCAAATTAAATGTAAATCGTCACGTCACTTCTCCAAATCAAAACAAACGAGCGTGGATTAATTTAATCAATTTTTAATCTAGAGTTAAAGTCCCGACTGAAATCACTACTTTTAATTAACAACAGAAAATATAACAAATATCTGCATTATTATAAAACCTTTCCCCCTCTATTTAAATAATGATTTCACTATTTAAATGCGTCTTTATTGGTTTATTTTACTTTATATTCTGTATATTACTGTCTTTCATTTGTACTTTTCTTTATGTACTGTATGTTATTTAGTTATTTAACAAATTGTCTTTTACATTGTGATATTTATTTTTTTTACCTGACTGTATGCACATTACTCCTCTTGAATAAAGCTAAACAAAAAAAAACGGGTGGATGCGGCCGGTTCGGGAAACGTAAATGGCGCCACTTCCATACTGAATGAATCAGACAAAGTAGGAACAAATATCTGCCTACTGAATAGTAGTTACTAAACAGTATACAGCATGGATGTGACAATAATCGTCTCGATCAGGCAGATTTGCCCCCGCTGATCGTTGGAGGCGGGGCTTGAAATGTCTAGTGTGCAGCCAGCCTAAGTAGAACAAAATAACGGAGTTCTACTTCTCTTATGATTCAAGTATCTCTCCGTGTTTCCACACTCAGGGCGAGCTGCATATTTGAATGTAAACAGATACATTTTCACGACGACCTTACCCAGGACTTTCCCTCCCATTTCAGACAGGCTGCCCCTGAAATCTTCCTGAGCTGCCTGTTCACACGTGCCCCCCCCCGCAGCTCGCCCTGAAAGCTGCAGGATGTTCTTAGGAGTTTTTGTGAGAACGAACAGAACCTTAACGAGCTCCTGTATTTAAACTGTGTGTTTAATGATAGTAATTATTTAACAATCACTGACCGGTGTAATCCAATCCCAGGGTGCGAAGCTGCGTGCTGGGTCTTTCTGGGCGGTCTATCCAGACCACATCAATCAGGTTATCCTGCACCGCCACCAGGGAGTGGCCTGCACTCGTCAGGGCCTTCGACATGTTCTTCCACTGATCTGAAACACAACGTGCACAAATAGAAGAAGAAGAAGATCTCCTTTATTAATCTCTAAAAGGGAAATTCTGTTTTAGAGAAATGCTGCACACACAGGCTGAAATACACACATGCACAAAAATGGAGTGATGTCAGAGTGAGGGGGGGCTGCACATCAAGGAGTGCCCCCCCCAGCCGTTGGAGATTCGGGGCCTTGCTCAAGGGCCTGTCAGCAGTGCTCAGGAAGTGAACTGCCACCTCTCCGGGTACCAGACCAACTTCCAGACTTGCTCCACATTGGGACTTCAATGGACCACCAGACCTTCCTGTTCCCAACCCGAATCCCTTCAGACTAATAGAGCTTGAAAACACAAACTGTATTCTCTAAGGAACAGTTTTTGATTTCTTGAGCGTGTGAGCTGCTTCTGGTTTGTCTTAATCAGAGCTCATGTCCTGCTGTATCCTTGGAAGACTACAGGGTTCCTGCTCTGTTTTTCTGTCTTCTGCCCTCCTGGTTGTAACGACTTATCAAGGAGCTAAACTCACCTGCAGCAATGATCCAAGGATCGACTCCCACTTTAGAGTTCTCTGGCAGAACGCTGATCAGCCAGTCCTCCTGAGAGGGGGTCTCCTTCAGCCCTAGATAGGATTCAGAAACAATCATTATGAGAACCACAAAAGTCTTAAACATCTGAAGAGAGAGACACTGAGGAGGACACCAGGATCGCCGACAGGTTCAAACATTCTTACCGTCCAGTTGTGATTCAGACTAACCCCGACCCCCCGTCAGGACTTTGAAACCTGAGAGCGAGTGGTGTGGACTGGACCTGGATGCACCGGTTCCGCGTTAGTTCAAACATGGCCTAGTTTGAACGTGACTTGTCCGGGCTGTGTGCTCAGGAGCGCTTACGTTTGTGCACGGAGAATTAAAAGAACTGCATGTCTGTCCTGTCGCTATGACAACTGTCGCTATGACAACTGTCTGTTGACAACAGTCTGATGTGTAATGTGTTTTCCCCCAGGCAGACACGGAGCAAAGATTTTTAACTTTGGGCACTTGAAGGGGGCCGCACAAAAGAAGGCGGAGTACTCAGAAAAAAACGCTAGGTGGACACAGGGGGGATCAATTAGGCGGGATTAGACGGGACATCTGCCGTAAAACACAGCCGTCATGGCGCATCGTTTGGAAAGGAGGATAACTTAGAGGATGAGGAGGAGTAGAGGGTTTAACGGTCTGTTTCCCGTTGCACTACAGAGAGCTGTTAAATCACCTTATGTTGTAGTTGACCATTTGACCACTAGATGTCGCTGTTGTTATCTTACACACGCTGTAGATGAAGGTTGTAGCTGCTGCAGAGCCGATCAGACGCGAGAGGAAACGCTGGAACAAACACTGTGTTAAAAAAATGCTGCTCACTGATTGGCTGTAGGAAGTGAAAACAGTTTTACAGTTTACGGCGTAAGATAAACCTTACGTTTCCATGGTAACCAAACGACAACACAACTCTGACTAGTTTCAGGGTTAAGTGAGGAACTTAAACTCGGCGGGCGCAACAGGACGCTGTCGTGCATACACTGAACTTCAAAAATAACCACGACTCTTAAAACGATAACCAACTGAAGGAGCGTGTGTTTAGGCGAACGCAACATTACCAGCACCACGAGGAGGCAGTCATTGTTCTTCACGTGTGGGACTCACCCATCTTCATCAGGGTCCAGTTGTTGTCCATCTGCTGACTGGCCTGGAGGAAATATCTCCCATCAGTCCACATGGCGGCGTGCTGCTCCGTGACAATGGCGGTACCTGTGCATCACATCAACAGTTAGACACGGTGGAACGTGGACATCTTCTCCGTCTTTTGCCTGCTCCACTTTTCAGAAAATGTGTGCTCAAACAGGCCATTTGATGATTTTCATTTCATGACATCACAATGGGCAGTAACCCCTCCCCCAGGTGGGTGACACTCCCACAGCTAGGTGTTTGTTCTGCCCTCCGAGTCTGCCTTCTCACCGTAAACAATAGGACATGGAGCGAGAAAGACCGAGACACCCAAGCCCTTCCAGAAAGGGGGCGTGGTCAGACACAGCTCATTTACACATTTAAAGGTACAGACACAGAAACAGTCTGTTCTGAGCAGGGCTGAAGTCGTCCCTGGAAGTGGACACACAATAACCGCTGGTTTCAAAGAAATGTGTATCCGTTCCCTGAGAAATATCTATCAGACGATGGTTCCTGAATGGTTACGAGACTATTTACTCCGACATAAGCAACCTTTACGTACTGCCAAAGTAGACCACCTCGCCTCAAAAGTAAGTAAACTGCTAATGACACCAGAGGCTTCTGGTCAAAAGAAATACTATTGGAACTCTGGGTGGCGTTTATATTATGTATATTACAGCTCACACACACAATAAACATACCTGCAGAGCCATTAAATCCACAGATGAACTCACGCCTGCAGTCACAAGGAGCAATGTATTCACTCTGAAAGACACAGAGGGGCGAGAGATAGAAAGTGAGAGATCGAGAGAGACAGAGAGAGAGGGAGAGAGAGGGGGGAGACAGAGAGATAGAGAGAGAGAAAGAGAGATGGGCTTCATTAACAATCAGTGTGAAGTGGTCATCAACAAGTCAGACAGTTTAAATGCCACCTTTGCCTCTCTTGTGCAGGGAGAGGGCAAAACGAGGGGGGGACGCTGTGGGGAAAGGGAGGGGGGATGGGAAAAGGGGGGGGGGCATGATTAATAGAGAAGGTCAAGTCGAGATGCTCAGAAGTTAATCAGGACATTGTAACCAAAGTAAAGCGCTAACAGGTAGCAGCCGCACCAGCTTCAGGTAATCAATGTAAATAAACTCACCTGGCAGGATTAAAGTAAGTTTGATTGCACGAAGAGAGACAAACTAAACTTCTATAAACAAAATATAAACTTTATTACTGCCTATTGTTTACACTCACCTGCAGACGGTCTCAGTGTGTGTGTCTGTACGTGTGTGTGTGTGTGCATGTCTGTGCGTGTGTGTGTGTGTGTGCGTGTGTCTGTGCGTGTGTGTGTGTGTGTCTGTGCGTGTGTGTGCGTGTGTGCGTGTCTGTGTGTGTGTGTGTGTGTGCGCGCGTGTCTGTGTGTGCGTGTCTGTGTGTGTGTGTGTGTGTGCGTGTGTGTGTGTGTGTGTCTGTGCGTGTGTGTGTCTGTCTGTATGTGTGCGTGTGCGTGTGTGTGTGATCACTGACCTGGTGTGCGTCTCCAGACGGGACGATGTAGGCGTTTATGGGCTCAGAGAAGTATTTACAGTTCTTCATGGCGTGCCGAAGCAGCCTGAGCAGCTCTCCTGTGATCTTTGGAGACATGCTCGAGTCTGCGGAGAGAAAGAAGAGGACGCCATAATCATTTAAATCATACCTGAAACAAAGATACAACGCCGCTCATACAGGAGGCGAGCCGAGTGTACAAAGTTCACATAAAGGGCCGTGTCACAGCTACTCTCTCAGGGACCTCTGAAGACCACCTGCTCGTCTACCTTACCTAACTTTTGGGACGCCATTTCTTCTTCAGGTGAGCGGAGCAGAACGCTGAGTTGACTGTTTCCTACCTGAAGACTCACGTGGAGCTCAAAGTGTCATCTACACCTTTAATCTTTAACTTGTTATGTAACTATCACACGGGTCAAAAATTCCAAGAGCAGGAGAACCAGCTGGCGGCGTCAGCAGGTCGCTGACCTTTCACCACCGCCGTTATTTTCTCTAAACATCAGAATATATAATAAGAGATACACAAGTTTTCCCCTGATCAGGAATCAAACCCAGTACCGCTACAGAAGTTTTCCGCTGACTGGGAATTGAACCTGGTACCGCTACACAAGTTTTCGCCTGACAGGGATTCCCCCCGCACTGAGCCCTCCCGGCCATAGAGGCGGATCACGCTTGCCAGACACGTTCACAGACCCTCATCGCTCATGAGGATCTCAGTGTATCAGGATACGACATCAGACCAATCAGAAAAAAAGATTTATGAAACAGAAGTGTCGGCCATTCTGAAAAGTTTGTTTATTCATGCCCTCAGTACGTGGTCGGGGATTATTTTGTAAATATATATTCTTTCCCCTAACTCAAAATCCATTCAGAAAAAGCTGAGATCGATTTTTTTCCCCCTGTAATGAAACTCCCCTCATGTGGGGGCGCTGTGGGAGCCGGCGTACTGTGATTCACGTTGTTCAGATGCTGCGTTCAGGCGCTCCTCTGATGGTCCCATGCTGCATTCATGTGGTGTTGGATGCATCGGAAAAACGAGATTCTGAGTTGTAAAATGAAACATGAACGCCTGCTCAAGTCGGAACAACAAGTCAGACACTCCCGAAGAGGAGCCCGACCCGACAACATATTTGTCGTCAACATGGCGGTTGGTAAATCTCAATTTAATTATCTTTTTTCTCTTCGTACCTTTTCTTTGGATTTTTTTTAATTTCATGTTGTATGTATTCTTGTTGTTGTAAAATAAATTATATATAAAAATGTGCCAGGATGAAATATGACAACTTGTAATGTAGTAAAACAGCCTGCAAAAAAGTATTTAAAAAACATGGCGGTTGAAAGATGTTTAGTTAACGTTAAAAACCAACGTTTAGCTCAAATATAACTCGTTACAGAGACATTCACACGTCTTCTTCCTTGTAGCATCCACGCTGTTTGTTGTTGTTTCAACATTCAGATTTTACAAACTGAAGACGGAAGAACGACCTCCAAACCGTGAAACTGGGACCATCGAGGAGCACCTGAATACAGCACTAGTGTCTGAGTTGGGAAGTCGTTTTTTGCGTCTTCCCATTGACCGCCATGTGATGATGAATATGACGTCAAGTTGGGAACCTTGTTCTTCCCTGAGTGTCCGAGTTGTTGTTCCGACTTGAGCAGGCATTCACGTTTCATTTTAAAACTCAGAAACTCGTTTTTTCCAACGTGTCCAGTCCGTCCAGTCCAACTCCTCGTGATGCAGGGAGAATCCCCAGTCACCTCGGCGTATCGTCAAATCAATATCAGACCTTGATTCAAAGAATCGAAACCGAATAGAAATGTGAGGTTCTTGACACCCAGCCCTTTTAAATACATCTAATTCATCATACAAATAAAATTTAGGAAGAAATGAGGAAAACTGCATAAAAACATAAAAAATAACCAACTTTCCCACGATATTCTTATTTTTTTAGATGCACCTGTAAAGGCCTTGGGGGGGGGACTGTGCAGTATCCACATCATCCACATCCACTGTGAGACGGTAGAAGTCGATGCTCGAGCCGACCAATCACAAGCGCAGTATCTTCCACCGATGAGCGCTCCTATTGGCTAAACCCTCCGCATGCGATTGTTGTTTACAAGTTTGCATTAGATAAATCATTCCACCTTTGACCTCCTCTGTTGCTGACAGGAAATAAAGCATTTGCTTCAAATACCCCGATAAAGAACTACAAAAACACGTCACTCGGCCACGCTTTTGTCCTTAATTCACACGTCACGGTTTTCAATATCAGCTCACTAAAAAAAACACACAATCACTGATTCATGTTCGTGGTGGGTGTGGTAGCAGGAGCACGCCGGTGTTTGCATGCACCCCGCAGGACAATGGGATTCCTACACTGCTCTGTATTTTGCATCCACCCAACAATTTTCCTCTGCAAACACTTCAGAGTGAAACACTGTTTGCAGCTCATGTTTACGCATGCTCATTAAAACGCGTCTTCTACCGAGTGTATATATCAATAAGGAAACTTAATGTTTACTAGTATAAACCTCACATACTCTGTCATCACAGATCTGCACCCAGAATTAAGGTAATACCGTTTTAAACACTTCCGCGAGGAGCAGACATTTAATAGCACGGGTGCATTTTTCTGCATAACACCGGCTAAATGGTTTGTAAGCTAACTAACTGTTCAAAATGTTTCTGCTGCTAGTTAGCGCTTTGCAAACAGAATATATGAATGGGGGTTTGCTTTGGGACCACCAGTCGTTTCCCCCTCACTTGAAAAAAACATCCCTCCGTGCTGCTTCCTTTCAACAACAACAACAACCGGGGAGACTTTTACGTTAGCCCCGCCAGCTAACGCCGATGCTCCACCCCACAGACACAACCAGAGACATGCTGAATACACACCCGGGGGTTTTGGTCTTGTGAATGGGGTTCTCGGGTCAGAATAACGGCTCGCTCCTTCACCAGCTTGGACCTTGTGTTCATTTACAAAAAGCAGGAGGCTGCCATTTCACTGTTGACGTCAGCGGTCACGTGGTTGCGTCTTCTTCCAGTAGACGCAGAGAGTTGCAGTCACGCCTCTTTTTCTTCTCTGCGTGAACCATCAACCCAAGAGAACAATAACACGCTGCACGAGCCGAGCTCTGCAACAACCGTGGATGTGACTGTTTGTCATAGACCTGCATGGAGCCTGCGTGGGGTCTGATGTTAAACCACTGTGCAGCGGAGTGATGATATAAAGATGCTGGCACCATGAAAGGTACTAAAATATCACTAAAAGGTCATTACGTCACCACATCAGACCTTTTCTAACCCCCCCCCAACCCTTTTTTTTGGTCATTCAGCGTTTTGTTTTGGCACACTTAACATTTATTTTTAAATGTTGAATTGAAATGCTCCTATTAGAATTTTTTTTGACTACATTATCAAAACGTCCGATGCAATTTCCCTTTGATGTTCTGAAAAGGTATTCGGTAAATTTATATGAAAATAGTCATGGACTGAGTCGGGACATGAGAATCCATTGAACGTTTCTGGCCACCTCTCCGAAGAATTTCAAAATAAAACATTAAATATGACTACATTAACAAAAACATCCGATGCAATTTGTGCAGATGTTCCCTTTCTGACTTTCTGTAATAGTATATATTAACATGGAAATAAGCATGGATTGAACCAGTGACATGTAGAATAAGTATCCATTGACATTTTCTCGTAACCTTACAGATAGTTTAAAAAAATAAATAAAACAGACTACATTATCAAAACATTCCAATGCAATATTGCACGGATTGTCCCTTTAATTTTCTAAAAATGTAAACAGTAAAATCGTCTTAAACTGTACAGAGACACAGCTAGGGACATGTGATATAACAACCCATTAAAAATCTTTGTCACCTATCACAGATTTTTCAAAATAAAAGATTAAACATGACTACATTATCAAAGCGGAGCAATTTGTGCAGATGTTCCCTTTAATTTCCTGAGAAAATAATCAGTAAAGTTACATGAAACTTGGCATGGAATGAACCAAGGACAAGTGGAATATGAATCCATTGAAAGTTTCTTGTCACCTATTAGATAATTTTTCAAAATAAAATATAAAGCATGACTACATAATCAAAGCGTGCGATGCAATTTGCACGGATTGTCCCTTTAATTGTCTGAAAAACTATTCAGTGAAATCCTCTTAAACTGTACAGAGACACAGCCAGGCATATGTGGAGTGAAATTCATTTTCAAAATAAAACATTAAACACATCAGGCAAAACATCTGCAGCCAGATGTGTCGTTGAACATCCTCCTAAAAGAATCCAATGAGAGCAGCTCGTTCAGTTTCAGGTGTTTTTGTGATTTGTCCCCATCCAGGTAAAGACCTGTAGACACCGCCCACACATTTTATTGATGAGTTGATCTGGGCAAAAAAAGAAGAAGAGAGAAGTGGCCCACAGCGTACAAACATGATCGTTCTTTATTCACAATTTTTCCAGATATGTACACAACGTTTGATTGGCGTGCATAAATAGAGAAAAACACGAGAAGAAGATGTACAACTTTAGTTCAGCTAGTTAACGACCAAAATGACCAGCAGATTAACGACACAGTAACGACCACTGAGCAGCTAACGATGAGCACGTTACCTAAAAGGACTATCAAAAAAAATAATAATGTTGCAGGATTTTGATTGGCTGACAAAGAAACAGAGTCCTGATTTGTTTGATATCAATCAATTGGCTTCATTTCATAAATATACATAAGTATTTTTACAACAGTCAGGGGCGTGTCTGCAGGGGTGGTCGAGGGCGGTATTGCCCCCCGTGGACTGTGATTGGCTGTTTGCGTTGTTGATCAGCTGTTTGGGCTGTGATGTAACAGGCTGCTGGTCGCTTTCTTTGCATTAAAATGTGGTAAACAAACATTTTTACACTCAAATACCTAAATTATTTAAAAATAAATTAAACCTATGTTTTACATTTTTGTTGAAAAGGTATCAAAGCCAGAGAAATCCTTCATTTTAGAGTTGTAAAGGGGCGTGTCTTGACAAAGCAGCCATGACAGACATGACATGTTTATCACTGCTGTGGACACACTGGATGTCAAAGATTGCTGCATAATGAAGCGTGAGCTGCTACTTTAAGCTGCTGTACTGTCGCTTTAAGGGATCAGGGTTAAATCTCCTTTAAGGGGGCTCCATCTGTATCAGTGAGGAAGCTCGAGCTCACGTTAATGAGCAGGAATGAAAGGCGGCGTGGGGCGCCGTCCAGCACGGACGCTTCAGAAGAAACTCGGAACAACTTAGAGGCGATTAATCAGAAGACAAACGTTAGAAACGAGACACAACGTTAGCTGGATGTGTTTAAAAGTGTGACCGGGACGGGTTTTGAATGTTGGTTTGACAGGAAGCTGCTCGTCTTTAAGCGGTCCCGTATGGACGCCGTACGGGACCGCACCGCCTTCTTCCACTCCTGGTTATAGTAGATATGATGGATGGAGATAGAACGCTTTAATAAATGGTATTTCATGCTACCCCTGCCCCAGCTGGGCCACCCCAGTAAAAAAAAAAAATAGAAGTGTGGACACGCCCCTGACCACATGAGGGTCCATGTGCCCCCCCCCCCGATGATGCGGGGTGTGGCTGATTGTTGAGCTATAACAGCAGGGAGGACGGCAGCAGGCAGGCGGCAGCACACATCAAGTACAGCAGCAAAGCTCCTGGCAGCAGCAGCAGACTAGCGCTCCCTGAGGGCAGCAAATCAGAGAGTCACACTCAGGTTACTCTGGAAAGGAATGACAGTCTGCCACAAAATTCTGCCCTCACTTACATAAACAGTGACACCTTCACATCGTGCACAGTGAGTCAGGTGAAGAACATGAATGCAGTGTGACGCCCACTTACGTGTACACCTGTCGGACTCCATGTATACGCCCATCCTCTCCGAACTTTTGACGGAGTTCAGAAGAGTTGCGCTGACGTTCCCTTAAAGAGACAGATGTTGAAATATTTAATCACACATGAGACTTTAATGGACAGGATCAGTGATATCATGTTAATAAAGCTTCCTGTAGCTTAGTGAAAAGCATTATCAAACCACAACTGCTGCAAATGTTTTTTAAAACAGTATGAGGTCTATGAGGTACCACTTCTCACCAGGTGAGGCCGCCACCCTCTGGTGGCCCCAGGTCAGCAAAGCCCCCCCCCCCTTAGGGCTAAAAATTTGCACAGTACAGAAGTGGCTCAAAGTGTGCAAAACTTGCAATGACAGTTGGAACCCTCCCTAAATGGGTCCGTCATCACGTCTTTGTATGTTCGTTCATATTAACTCGATGGCGTGATATCGGCGTCCCAGTCTGTGAGGTCACATTGCGTTCTGGCGTTGTGGAAGCACGGCACAGCGGGAGCTCCACATACACACACAGTCAGACATGCACACATACACACAGCGCTGGCTCAGCTGATCCCGTCTCTCCTGGAGACACGTCTCAGGGGCGTAAATATCACGGCTTGAAACGGCGCTCTGAACAGTGAACTTTAGTGAAAGATAAAAATGCTTCAATTTTGAGCCTTTTTTGAACACTGGTCTGAGGAGGGACTGAGGAGGGTCCCCGTGAAGTGGACCATCGCGCTCAGCTGCTTCCTGTTTTCATCTCATCCCGTCACCATAACACAGATAATCACGCTGCTTGTTCCCAGGAACAATGGCGATGGTAAACTCTGCACCGTGTGGGAGACTTTAGAGCACATAAATGGCCGCCCTATGCTTTACTGTGTGAACCCACCTCGGCACAGGTACTCCTCTGTTCCCCCCCGAGACAGAAAATGAGACTCCAGCGTCGGGTTACTGAGTGAATTTCAGCTTTTCTAAAGATGTTCAACGGCCATAATCGTTCTTTGTCCTAACGAACACGACCCGGGCACACAGCTTGGATCTGAAGTAGCTCAGGTGTTCAGAGAGATTTAGATACGAGAGATTTGATCAAATCAGAAGTTTGTGGTCAAGCAGGTTTAGACATAACAGGAGTTTCCCCTCTCTCAATGTTTCATCATCATAAAACCAAAGTCTTTAAAGGCTTAATATCTGATTTTTCACACTTAAATGTAATAGAAATCAAGTATACCCTCTGAAAATAACTCTGAGAGTCATGACTGTCTACAATGGGTGTAACACCCGAGTCCCACTGTCTGTGATGCTTTCCGAGTCCTATCGTCAGGTTGTTGACATCGCCTCACGTATAAAAGTTGTTTAATTGAGGGACTAGAGAAAAGAAGAATAACATACTGTACTCACTGCTTAACTGTGTTTCTAGATCACGCTCATGTCAGGTAAATTGACATGCAGTGTGAAGATACGAGCATAATAAAGATCGCTACCATTAGCATGCTAACACAAAAATGCACTGCGAGTTGTTTTGGTTTCATGCTGGTGCTCAAGGGCAACATCTGCTGGATCAAAAAATCGCATATAAAGCCTTTAAAAAGTTTGGGCGTCGTGTAAAATGTAAACAAAAAAAAGGAAGTGATGATTTTGGAAACATTGAAACCCCATATAGAAGGCCCAGGAGTCCAGGATGTCCTCTGTGGATGTTTGTAAGGTGTTGGGTGTTTCCCAGTGGGCCAGGTAGATGTTTGCATGCCCGGGCGTTTGCAGCACATCGTGCAGCTGCACAGTTTGAGACTAGTGCTAATTATTGAACATGGCAACGTTTCAGGGGTGAGAGTGATGAGTATGGCTGTCGGGTCTAGATGTGTCAGGGTCTTTAGTCAATTTTCTGCTGATTATATCCTGCTGCGTTCTCACATCAGCTCACTCTGACTTTCTGCAGAATAAATACGAAGAGGCTGGAGGAGAAACTCCGGGTGGAGAGAGAAACATTCAGCTGTTTGTGTTCACACATGACGCTCAGCGTGAGAACACTTCAGGAGTGTGTGCATGTGTGAAAGAACTAAAACTGTGCATCAGAGCGGTAAATGTCTTCCTATCCCGACTTGTTTTCAAACGGTTGCTTGCATCAGATTCAATGGAT